TATATATATATATATATAAATAATGTGTCCTTGTACTAAACAATACATAGTTTAAACAGCGGATCTGGGTGTGTTAATTATGAACTGCTTTGTAAATACAGTATAGCAAGGGGGCAATCAGTCCATTGCTCTGCTGAAGGGTTAACAAAGCACTGGTTGCCACAGTTGTAGCTCATGTCCTGAAATATCTGTGTTGCTTTTAAAGCAGCGACTCTAAGCTGCAGCCCAGGTGTTGTGGATCTCACCCAACATTTTGAATGCGCTTTTCCTCTGAATTATTTCACAGCTGAGGTTATCCCCATGGCTTGTTCACATTTTTTTTTTGCCTGCATTTTTTTATCACTTTCCAAATAATGTGCTCAGACACAGTTTTTATAGTGATGAACTTTGAGACTCTCCGTAATGTTCTGTTGAGCAGGTGTCAACTCTACAGGCTTCTGCATTATTGAGTATTTCTAAATTAACCATTCTTTTCCAATAGTCCAATTCATTTGAGTTGTGAGCCATTATTATTAAGATTAAATCAAAACAAAAGCCTCTTCAGAGCTTGTATGTATGTCTGATTCAAGATGTGATTTCACCATTACGATATTTTGTGATAGACCAAGAAAACTTCTAAGACATCTGGGAGGTTAACCTTTGAGAACCGGAATTGGAAATCATTGGTCTAAATGGAGTAACTCAATGGGAAACGGTTTTCAAGAGTTAACTACATTGCTTTGAATGTCTATTAAAACAAATTTTTTTTACGTCCCATCTTTGTGACCTGCTCTCTCATGAGAGCCATTGCTTTGATCCAGAAAATCAGACTCATTCCACCTTTCCTTTTGTCAACATCAAAGGCCATAGCCTTTCCTCCACTGAGCTCAGACCCTAAATTGGATTTTAATAATTGAGAAGAGCTGCCCTTTAAGGTATTAAGTGGTCCGTGTGCTGCCTTGGTACTTTTTCCTCCTCAGCCCTGCCTGACTGCTATCAGAAATGCAAAGGTTCTTTCGTGCTCATTGCAGCTGATGACTTACGAACTTTTCTCGCCTACAGGTTCTTAGCAATGAGAACCTACTAACTCTGAAAAACGTGAGGCAAGAGGACGCAGGGAAATATGTCTGCCGCGCCGTCGTCCCACGTGTCGGAGCCGGGGAGAAGGAAGTCTCTCTTACCGTAAATGGTGAGTAGTGTCACTGTTGTGTCCCCCACACAAACTGGTCATGATGGCCTCCACATAGCTGTCGTCTGTAAAACGTAGAGAGTAGTGTAAATCTGGAGGTCTGAGGTCAACAGCAACAACAAGAAAGCAATTTGTCACTGTAGTCAGCATTCTGTTTCCGTTGTAGCTCACAGACGCCATTCACTGAGAAACTTCTAACATAACATTCTGCTTCTCTTCAGCAGTCTTTCATTTGATATATCATTTTCTTGAAAACGTGGTTAATTTACAGCGCGGGCCTTGAATTATAATGCCCGCCAATAGATGTAGCACATAAAACCGGTACAAAAACATGTTCATGCAGATTAAGCTTCCTAACCAAACTAATTTGATGCACAATACACAGTCCTTTCATTAGATCTCACTACTGTGAAGCCTTTCCATAATAAAAGAAAAAAAAATTAAAATAAACACAAACTGGCCTTTTCAGGACATGGTCTTACATTTCATAAACAGGTGAAATGTGCTTAAATGCTAATTAGATTCAGCATGAGTCACAGGGAGGCTGCCTTTTTCTGAGGCACTGACTAACTAATGAATACCAGCCTTGGTGGGAGACCTGGCAACTCTCAAATAAATGACTTCATTATCAGTGCTTGATATTCATGGAGCATGCTTCAGCATGGCAGAGGGTCTGAGTTGTGGGATTTACATGTTTTTTTTTGTTTTTTTTACATCCCCCTGTGTCCATCTGTGAGAAACCTGGACAAAATACAAGACCTAAAAACAAGGATATTGTTAACACTTGCACTGGATCGTTGCGCACTTTGAAAGCTAACAAAATGCTTTGCCTGTAAGCAACTCTCATGCTGATTTAGGGATGAAGATATTTCAAGTGGCAAACATGCTGTTTAAAGGTTTCCCTTTTCACAAACCCAGACACTGGTTTTGCATATCAGAGGGAACGAGATACCAGCATTCCCTCAAGCAAAGGATCAGAACCATGACTTTCTGTGAACCGCAAGGAGGCCCCTCGTTCTGGGAAAGGAATTAAGTCTAAACCCTCGCAAGAGAGGAAAATTCACGTCTCCTTCTATTGTCTCCCATTCCTTTGATAGCAACCTAGTGTGCCATTCTCTTTGCAGCTTTATTATTTACACTGAATACGTTTCACCCACTGTACTCGCTGTTATTTTGATTGCACCTCTTTTATTTTTTCTTCTCAACTAATGGAGATTGTGTTGTTTTTCAAAATGATGCCATGAAAGAAAGATGATGGACTGTTTTAATAAAGATTACAACACAACTCAGGGCACTCTGGGAAACCTGCGGCAAAGCTGAGATGACATGTTTACTTGGTCTCTGTAGAAATCCTTCAAGTGAATTTGGAATGCCCTGCAGTCTTTTTTTATTTCTTAATGCTCTTTGTTCTTTGCCTATTTTGTGTATCTCCAACCTCCGCGCTCGAATTGTCATTTGACATTCAAAGCCTCTATTCTTTTTAGCCTTCTGAATAATTGAATTCCATCTCTTCTTCCCAACTTTCTGAGGAATCTTGAGTCAATTCTCACCCAGACCTTGAGGCAAATCAGATAGTCCGACTGTGCAAACACCGCGGTTGAAGTGGTGTCGTGTGGGGAGCTCTCAACCGGTATTCATTGATTGCCCCATGCCACCATCTCATCCACAAATGAACCTCGCTTCTCGTCAGCCCTTTTTTACCCCCAACATCATCGACTGTCAGATGCACACAATTGATTCCGACCACGATTTCCTAAGATAGCAGATGTGCAGGGTTTGTCAGCAGGATTGCTGTGGCACAATAACAGATCAGGGAAGGAAGGCTGCACCACATTTCTAGTATTCATGATGTGATGGCATCTGTTGCACTTTTTGCTGCTTTTGTATTATTTGTTTTTCCCGCAGTCATCCGCTGATTCCTTAAAGCCATCATTTAAATTACATGTTTATAATTTGTCATCCCCTCTGTCTCCCCCAGTCGTTTTGTGTCACCGACTCCCACTGTGGCATACCCACGTGAGCATGAGGATTTTTCTTTCCCTGGGGAAGAATGTAATTTAATTATAATCAAACAGCTAGCAGGGGAAGCAGTTTGTGTTTAAATCACTAATGGATATATATTGCTTACTGCAGTCAACCATTTTTCAGAATGGATTCGTTTCTCGGGGTTCAAACGCAAAGTTGGAAAGTGGCTTAATGCATGTAGGACAGTCTGGGACGTTTTAATTGCCTGTTGTTTAGCACAAATTATTACTGCAAACTGTCAAAATTTTTATCATCCTGATGAGATGGGAGTAAGAGACCATTTCTGGGATGCTTGAAAATATTTAACTTTTAAGCTAAAGGCCATCTATTTACACTGTAAGTAATTCATCCATGTGTCAGTAAGTTTTTTACTTTGTGTGGGCAAAATGACACTCAAATGAGCCCAGTGCAACTGAAGGAGGGAGTGACGGCTGGAAAATCCTACAATATCCCACAGAACACTGGCTTTTTTTAGTTCATAGACTCTCTTTATATAGCTGGGTAATTAACAGTCCTGCATTTTTAAAACTGGATGTTATATCATGAAAGATTAAAAAAAAACAATAAAAAAAAACCTCTGCATTTGGGATGTAGCAAATGTAATCTAACCAGTTCAACTTCTGCTGTGTGTAAAAGAATAACTACAAACATCACACGCTGTCTGCTCAGCTCAAGCTATATTTTTGAGCCGTTTATGCCCCATTTTTAAAACCAGGGTGCTTCATTTAAAGGTTTTGGCTTGTACAGAAGATTACATTGTCTACTCTAATTTTAGATTTTAATGTCTTACTCATTTTGGGGTATAAAATATAAATGCACAGGTTTTTTTTGTTTGTTTTTTTTTTACTTTCTGTAATCTTCATAAGCCCAACTAGATGAGTGTTGTGCAAGAAATATTTTCAATTAAATAATGACCTTCATTCTAAAACTGAAAGAAGTCAAACTTAAAGAAAAATTGGACAAATGGATAACTTAGAAAATGTCACTAACTGAAAGAACTGCAATAACTATGAAAACTGGTAACTGTTCCCTGTGTTTAATTGTCAATTTTGTTTTACTTATTTTTTATTTATTTATTTTTTTCTGTGGTGGGTGTTTTCTTTGTCTGTTTATTAAAAAAAAATAAGGAAAACAACTTATTAAAAAATAAAGCAAAAACCACAACTGGAGCAGACACTGCATATAGATGCCGATTACAGTGGACTTACTAATAGGATTTGCAATTGAAATATTTTTGTTCTAAAGGCAATTAGCTAGAATGGAAGACATTATATATTTTACCTAGCATACAGAGGAGGCTCTTGCTGCATGGATGTACAGAGGGAGAGATTTGAATAAAGCAGCAGTCTATATGCGTTTGGCCCACAAGCCACAGATGCTGCTTCTTAACTAATTAGGGTGTTTGCTGGAAACAAGGAACATTAAAATAAAAAAATACCTCGGTGTGTATTTTGTTTAATCATCTTTACACAAATAAAACCAAGCTGACTATTTACTTGTGGCAAGTGAAAGCACAGTTGGAAAGCTATGTGTTGTAACTTTTATTATTTGAAAAAAAAAAAAAAAAATCGAAGCTTCAGCATTTAAACAGCAGCGTGGGGCTGGATTCTGCTCTTTCTACAAAGTTTAGACATTTAAAACACACACGCACACTGTTAGGCAGTGTTTCGCACTGCCTAGCACATACATACACACACCCACACACACACACACACACACACACACACACACACACACGTATATATCAAATACAAAGTAGAAACATGTAGCCCTTCACATCTAATTTTTTATTTGCAATAAAATATTTGTTTAGAAGTAGCGCACAAAACTCTCTGCTGTTAGATGATAATGAGTTTGTGCCACACTTTGTTTCTCTGTATGAACTCTTTGCAGAGATGTTGTCCGTAAATTGTGAATCTTATTTCAGCTCCAGTTTTAAGCACTATGTTTGACCAGAAAATAAAACTGCGAGTGTTTGTGGCCTGTGGCGGTGGTATTAAGTTACTCGGAGTGTGTTTCATGATCTCTAGTGGAGAAGATTCAGATCTTGTTTTTAATCAGCCCAATCGAAGAAAGAGATAATAATTTGCAACTTCGCCAAATCTACTCTGACTTAATGTAGGTGATGGGATGCAGTGAAGCTGAAGTTCTACTTTTTGTAGGTTTATTTGCTTTTTACAGGTACAGATTTAAATCAACAACTCACTTGCTGATAATTATTTAAATGAAAATAAAACTATTTTCTTTCCATGCCCAAATGAGCATTACATTTCTACGTATTCTATTGTTAATGTATTTGCTCAAACGGGTCCTAATGCTATTATTTATGACAAATTCATGTGTCAGTTTTTTTTGTTTTTTTTTTTTGACAAAAACGTGAACTGACTCTGATTGACAGGTTTAGTGGAAACCTCTCAGTGGAAATCATGGCTATGAATGAGCAAAACATTGACAGTCTCACTTGTTTCTGTTTTTTTTTTTTTTTTTTTTTTTT